GTTTTCCATGAAATTTTATTTTTATTTTAACACTTAAACATTTATTTATATACTTTTCTTACTAATATTGTTTCTACACTTAATTAACTATGTTCTAATACATTACTGATTCTCATTTTCGATTTCTTTTAATTTTGAGAAAACCTTAGGTATCCGGTGCTGGGCGGGCGCAGTTTCCCTATGTACTAAAGACTATAAAAAGAGTTATATGATTTTTTATTATTAAGTTTCTTTTTTACATTTGTCATTTACTTTCGGCGTAATTTCCATATGGAATACTTAACTAATATCGACGTGTAAACAAACGTGAAGGAAGAAAAGAAAAACATACATATATTTATTAGGAATTAATTTATATATATACTTATTGAAAAAGGGAATATCAGGCACTTGCAGTAAGGCAATATCGTTGTGGCTCTGTCCGTCTCTATACTCCGGGTGTACGAATGATTGGTTTGTAATCATTTTTACACCGGGGTTTCGAATAAAAGCTTCATATTCTACACTAGGCTTGTTGATGATGTCGACCGCTATAAAAAACATTCGGTCGATTTTCAATGGATCCTGTACGCAATGACCGGCTGTGAGAACCCATCTTGTATGTATGATCGTGCCACTGCATTGCCTGAATAATCTGTTACCCACAAGATGATTTACTACTGCCATGAATGGAAACTGTCCGAATCTCGCGTAATTTCCGCCTGCTATTCTAGTTGAGTTCATTTTTGGTCATTTAGAAAAAATGTAACGAAAATAACAAAATCATCGTCTTCATAAAAGCTTTAGTAAAAGTATTGTGAATTGTGTGCGAAAATTATACGTAAAGTTACATATTTTTTTAAATATAAATTATTTAAGTATTTTATTATTATAATCATTAAATTGTGCAAATTAACAATGCTGTTATTGAATTAAACGGAAAGTTTGTTCCGTTTTTTGCTGACATTAATATAAATACAAAAAAAATGAAAGAAATTTATCGTTCAGCCCAATACTTATATTCTGATTTTAATAAAAAAAAATCTTTATTTGATGTAGGCAAAAATAATATAAACTTGCAGCAAATATTCATATAATCCTATTAATAAAATCAACCAAAACTTTTTGAAATACACGTATATGTCTTTTTGCTCACCATCGATATTCGCGTCCATACCATCAACATAGCTTCTATGCATCACATACGTGAATTTGATCGTAGAGCGTTGACTTTGAACGTATTGACATAAAGTTAAACTGATCAGAAATATCGTCGCACTTTTTAGATCCATGATTGTTTCGCGCTCTCTCCCTGTAAATTTCCTATCTATGTAACTGCGCCGATATTCGTACAATAATGATAATTAACGAGATTATTAAAACTTTTGACACCTATTTTGAAATGTATAGTGTCGCGCATACGGCGAACTCGCGCTCGCATGGCGCGGATCAAAAATTGAAAGGGGGTTGAGAGTGGATGGCCTTCGCGACTTTCTCTCGCAGATCCTCGGATCGCGAATCGCGAAACGAAACGAAAAGTTCGGCGCCAGACGTGCACAAGAGGGCAGCAATAATACGCGAGAACCCCGACGCGAATTACCCGAAACGCACGAAATTATCTTTCCTAAACACGAACCAATACTATAATAGAATAACGAACCACAACGACCGTTGATTGACCGAGGGCTGGCAAAACTAACTCGACCTAACGGAAGAAAGGGAGGGTTTGCAGGGCTCGTTATATATCCGCTAATAGGACGATAGTGAGAAGGCGAGAAATGCAACAAGAAATCATGATTAACAAGGAATAATAGAATATATTTGAGACAAAAAAAAACAAAAAAAAGAAAGAAGGTTCAATAGTTACAGCAAAAGACGAATGAGAGAAATATGCAATAAGCCACGCGATGACTCTGTAAAGTCCCCATCTACATAAGCCGCAAACGCACAACGCAAATGCAAACGACGGAGAAAAAAAAGAATAAAACGTCAAAAAATAAAAGAAAAGAAAGAGAGAAATGTCCGCGTTTGCGTTTGCGTTTGCGACTTATGAAGATGGGGCTTAACGCGCAAGTCAAATCTCTTCGCGGCGGCCAGAGAATCTTCCGAACCATAGAATTTTCTCAAACGCGCGTACGATGGTCGACGCACTACCGAACACAATTCCGCGACACGTGGTCTCGCTCGCTACGTTATTGCACCCAGATCGTTGGTCGCCAGAATCTATGTCTCGTCGACATAATACGCAGGATACGCTATCGCTGGATACGATACAAAGGGCGTAGTTCGCAACCGCCGCGCCGGGCAAAGTCCGATATGCGCACGAGCGCGCAGCGCAATAGTACAAGCAATAGCGCAGCCCTCTCGGCGTGCTCGTGGCTTTACAAGATTATACAAAAACAATGTCATTCTCACCGGCTTCCCTTGTTTAATCGTCTCCTCGTCCGACAGGCCTCTTTGCTTTCGGGCTGGGAGTTCTCGATCGCAACTCGCTCGCTTGTTTGCTCGTTCGCATCCGGACGTCCACCTCCGTTCGAAGATCACATGGAAAAGAGCGGACTGAACCGACGGGATCTAGGGGACCCTTG